GGGGAACGGTAACGGGAAGGAAGGAAGGGGAAGGGTTACGGTTTGGTTCGTACGGGAAGGGAAGGTTAGGGTCGGTCGTCGGTAAGGACGAGTGTAGTATATAGTAGGTGGTGTGTGTGTGTGTGTGTGTGTGTGTGTGTGTGTGTGTGTGTGTGTAGGGGGTATAGGTATGGAGATGCCAGGCAGCTGGTGAGTGGGGATGGAAACAGAAAAGGGAATTCTCCCAACCTGTCTCTGTAGCCCTAGCCCTAGCCCCCTTCTGTGCGGTGGAGGTGGCTGGAAGGAGCAGGATTAAGCCCAGGGTATGCTGCGGCCTGCCTCTCCCTGTCCCATTTCCCACGCTTGTTTCAGAAAGCATTCGGAGGTTCTGAGAGGTGGCTGGGGAGGAGGGGACAGGGTCAGGTTCGGGTACTCCTTGGGTCTCGGCCTGATGCCAAGCTGCCCTCACTGGGAAGGGAGTAGAGAGGCCAGTTGGAGGCTGGTGGAAAAATAGCAGCCTCACCAGGGGAAGGTTTAAATTCTCACCCTGTGAAAGAAGACACCTCGGGAGCCCGTTGTGGGTGCTTTATGTGCAGGGACAGCTGGGACCCCAACAGCATGTTGCCCCAGAGACCCAGCCTGGGAGTGCCTGCCCCTCGGTCACTACTGAGACGAGGTACACAAACAACGGGCCACGAGCACCAGGCACCCCGCTGGCAGGCAGGAGCCTGCCCCCGTCGGCAAGTGCTCTGTTGACATAAACACAGGGGTGTCCAGAGCCTTGGCAGGATGCAGGGAGAGGGCCACGGGTCTCCTAGAGTCTGAGGCTGGGATGGGAGGAGGCCAGAGTTTCCAATCGCCTCCTGTGTGGGTCACCATGCTTGGCTTGCCATGCAGGGCACACTACCCTGTGGGAGAATGGTGACACCTGGAACTTTAGTCCTGGTCACCATGGTCTTCCATTCTAGAGGCCACTCCTGGCACCACCTGGCTCCCATGGTTGGATTCTTTGAGGAAAATGGTCTGATAAGAATCATGGCCATTAAGTTGACTAATAGTGTTCCCCTTTGAAGGGATGTTTGCCGGGTCGAAGAACCTACTGGGAGAAAGTGATGAATTTAATAATCAACTTTTGAGAGGAGATTTTCAGCCCGTAGAAATGTGTTGGAGTAGGTGCAGGTGGAGGGGGTAGGGCTTTTCAGGTGATCTCCTGAGCAAATCATTCTAGATGGGCTGGGGGACTTGGAGATAGACACTAGAGGGACAAATGAGGCCAAATAACTACTGTTGTGTCTGGCGTGACACAGAGGGGTTCTCTTGGCTTGCGTGCTAGAAGAGGGGGCCTCCGTGATGAAGGGTCCTTGAAGCTAGGAAAGAGCCAGGGGCCTTGGTGGACTCTGCTTGAGGATGAAAGGGGAGGTCCAGATCCGAGGGGACCCTGACTAAAGTCAGGCTTTGTTTAGATGGGTCACCTGTGCATCACTAATGAGGATCAGCAATAAATCTTTAAAACAAAAGGTTCTTATGCTTGTTTTCTGGAACTACAAGGAAAGGGAACCCTGGGAAGACTTTGAAACTGGGCTTGGTGTGCAGGGGATCCCCAGGAGATAGAGTGGATGGTGGCCATGACTTTGGAGTCCTGGCCGGGGCCTGACAGCACTCAGGGGCCTTACGCCTCCCATAGGGCATCACCTCTACCTGCCCGTAGGTAGGAGGGGCCGGAGATGTGCAGAGAAAACACTGCTTGCACGCTGCCCCTCTCCCAGCCCAGCTGACCTTTGTCCACTAGATGTACACCTACCAGTCTGCTCATCTCACTTCACCCCTGTGTATTCGCATCCTGCAGACATTGGCAAAGGGAGGAAATTGAAGGGTTCAGGGGCGAAAGACGGCACCAGGAGACAGTAGACTGAGAGCTAACCCTGTCTTCTGAGGTTGCTATTTTGCATGGTGCTGCTCCCCACCTCTCCAGACATTGGTGAAGGGCTTGTCTCTCCCCTACCTTCCGAGTGAATCACTTTCAGACACGATGTGCCCATTCAGAGGCAGGTGGAAAAACACTGCCCAAGGACAGAGACACACACACATGTGATTTGGATGGTGGACTCCTGGGCTGCATCTGGCAAAGAGAGGAGACAGCTCCGACTCTTTTTAGGCACAGCTCTAGGTAACAAGAGAGGAGGGGCCAAGGGCAGCGTGTACTCCAGGCTGGGCTCAGAACTGGGAAGGGGGGGGGGAAGAGGAAAGGTAAGAGGAAAGGTGGGGAGGCTCGGGGATTAGAGGTTCCCATTCAGGAACCAAGGAACTGGTGCTGAGGGGGATTTTAAGGACGACTTTGGGGTCAGAGGATGAGAGTTTCGGGTTGATCCAAGTCAAGCTTCCTTCTAGGGCCAATATCCAAAACTAGAGGCATCTGGATCCCTGGGCTTGTGGCATCAGTTTGGCCTGGGGAGGTCTGAGTCATATGATAGGCATGGTGCATCTTCTTGGAGGGCCAGTTTAACTTCTAGAATTGGTAACATAAATGAAACTGGTAGCATATTTGTAATGCCTACATGAGATGGTGACGTAAGGACAATGACAGATACTTCTGGGGTGTTCACTTGTTTAAGGTCACGCAGCGATGGAGCAGCCGGGCACATTTACTCTTCCCAGCAGTTCCCTATTTTACAGCTGAGGAGCATGAAGCACAGACAGTGAAGTCAGTTACTTGTACCCAGTTACCAGTTAATAAATGACAGAGTCAGTATCCAAGCCCAAGCTGGTCTGTCTCCAAGGCCAGAACTGCTAACCACTGGACCCTATGGCCCTCATTCCCCAAGCTGATCTGATTCCGTGGGTCTGGAACGAGACTGGAGTCCCGGCCATGCGCAAGTGCCCCACGTGGTCACTGGGCCACACTTGGAGAAGCCTCACAGCAGCTCTTCTCAATCTGCCTGCACATTAGAACCACCTGAGATGTTTCAAAAACTATTAGGGCCCTTCCCTGCCCCCAAAAGAGGCTTTTTCAGTTGGTCCAGAGTGGGGTGCAGGTGTTAGTGGGCTGCTGGTCAGCACTTTCCTTTAATAGAACAGTGTGTTCATTTATTCAGTCAATCATTTGATCAACAAAGATGTGTGAACACCTTCTCTGTGCCCTGTGCTGCACTGGGGCTGGGGACACAAAGGTGGGTGGGGCACTGTGTGTGCCCTCCAGGAATGCAGGTGACCGATCTGCCCTGCTGGGCAGAGCACACCCTTTGTGGAGGCGGGGACAATGCAGATTCCTTCTCGCTAGTCCTCCCTTGGCAAGCTCCAGGAAAAGCCAGTCTCCTTCTCAAATGATGGTGTCCTCTGGCTGTTCCCCTCTGTGTGGTCCTTGGCCCCCACCTGAGAGGGCACAGTTGGTTCTAGGCGCAAAACTCAGCTCACAGAACCAAAGGCTGTCAAAGCAAAATGGGCCCTGAGGGACCATCCGTGCCTGGAGCTCTCAAATTTTGGTGAGCGCAGGTGACAGAAGTGCTGGGAGCTTGTTAAATCTAAAAATGCATGAAGCCCACCCCAAAAGTTCTGATTCAGAATCTGGGGTGGGGTCCAAGGAATACACATTTTAATAGGCTCCTGGCTGGTTCTGGGACACGCTCAGCAGTGGTTCTCAGGTGGGCTGCACGTGAGGAGGTCCTGGGAGTTTTAAAAACACCAAGGCCCAGGCCCATCCCTAGAGAGTCTGGTCGGTATTTTTAAAAGCTCTTGCCGCAAGGCGCCTGGCCTTCCAGCTGGCCTTGTTTTAGGATTTGGGGAGGCAGCCCTGGGGCAGTCACTCCTTGCCACCATCCGGGCTTTGAAACAAGAGGAGTAGGAAACAAGAGGCAGGAAGAGATGAAAAGAAAAAAGCCAATGAGAAGGTTTAGAAAGAGAGAAGGGTGGACAAGACACTCCTACTGAAATCACTACATCTCTTTTTTTTTTCAACTTTTTTTCGTATAGTAATAATAATGAATTGAAGCAAAAACCCAATAGTATGAGTATATGAAAACAAAAATAAAAAATGATCTATAATCTTACTTATACATTCATATGTATCAGATAATGACATAAGGTACTGGTATAACATATATAACCATATCATGTATTATTGTATAGTCATTAGTATAATTAATGTACTGAATTAATAAAATAGATGAATTAAACAGATTAATATAACATATTTTTATATATAATACATAATATATATTTGTATTTACATATAATACATAGTATAAAATATATAACTTGACACCTATAATTGGTATCCTTTTGACTTTGCTTTTCTGTTTTCCTTTTATGTAACTTTTCAAATACATTTTGTTTTTCAGGTAATCAATAATCTAAGTCCTAAACTTTGGGATCAGGTTTGGGAGGGCATGTGAGTGGAGATGGTGCACCCGCCCTCCGAATACGTGCATTCACACCTTCATTCACGTGTGCACACTCACACACATGCAGACATGCTCATTCCAGCCCTGCCACCCTAGACATCACACCCTCAAAGTTCATTAACAGGATTTTATTCATTTATACAATTAAATTAATACTTATTAATACAGGATTTATTAATTTATATTAAGTATAAAATAAGTCTCTTCCCTTTTCCCCATGTCTCTGAATTCTAATGGAAAGTGGCAGTGGAGGGCCCAGGACAGTGGCCACAATGGGACGCGTCACCTGTGGGGAATTGTCAATCCCTGGCCGCTTCCCCTGCTCCCCAGCCCACGTGCCTCAGTTGCTTTCCTCCCCCATGGGCTGAGGCTGGTGGTCTGGACAAAGGCTGTCCCTTCACAGGTGATAGGTGATGGATTGATCACAGTGAGCCAGGCCAGGTAGGGCAGCGGGAGCAGGGCAGCCAGTTTGTTGGTGGGGTGCCAGATCAGTGCCATGCTCACCACCAGCCTGAAGAGCAGCAGCAGGTGCGGCAGGGCCTGGGCAGGGGGCAGGGCGGTCAGGCAGGCTGCCCTGGGAAGTGGCCCTTGACCTTTCTGCAGCATCCTGGACCCAGCGAGTCCAGTTCCTGGCTCAGAGAAGTCTGCCCAGCCGTTACTGCCTGCACCCGATTGACCTGCCATTCCATCTGCTTCTGAGTCCTGGCAGCCCCCCATTTCCCATGCTATTCCGGTGCTGAGCCCTTATGACTTTCCAGACCCAGGGAGTGGGCTAGGAAGAGAATCAGGACAACCCAGCTGATGGCGAGCTGCGCAGCAGAGAGGCCTAGAGGCAGGGCCAGGGCCCGCCCGAAGCCCCCTCCCAGGTCCTTCCACACCAGGTAGGAGGCATAGCTGTGGAGAGATGTTGGCAGAAACGCTCAGAGGAGAGTGTTTCCATGGTAAATGGAGGAAGCCTTCTGGCGTAAGGCATTTTGGTTACCAACAGGTAATCCTCCTGGGCTGAAAAGGGGTAAGTGGGTCTAGGCTTCATTTGAGGGCTGGGGCAGGGAAAGTGGTGGGAAGAAGTGGGCTTGGTGATGTGGGGAGGGGATGGAGAGACTGGGAGAGGGTGGAAGAAGACGGGCTGGAATCCAAGGCAGGTACAGAGGGGACACATCAGAGGAGGCAAGATGAGGTACCAGCCCTTTGGAGGTCAGAATGCAGCAGCACTTCAGGGATGGGAGACTTGTTCCCACCCCATGACATGAGAAATGGGTCCTCACCCTATGACAGGGTAGATGGTTGTCCACACAAGCAACAGAACCTTGTGGGATGGGCACCGGGGTAGCTACTTCAGGCTGTCACACCAACCAGACATCCAATGATTGGTGAACAGCCTGACCAGGGTGGGCCCTAGGAGTGCCAGGGCCACGAAGATGACCCCTTGAGGCCACATTCTCCTCAAGGAGGCACAATCTGGGGAGGCAGAGAACACACTAATGGTAGCCTTCCCCTGGTCCTTTCCCTGTGTCTGCCCATCTGTCTCCTTCTACCTGAGCCCTCGTAGGAGGTCTAGTCCTAGAGGCTGCGTTGGGCCAGCTCCCATCCTGCTCCTCTGAGCCCACATCACCTTTTCTGTTTTCCATGCACTTCTTTTCTCCACACCACTCATTTGGCACCGAGTATACTGTCCAGTATTGATACCTGCTTCTTAGTGAAGACTCCTCTTCCCCAACTTGTGTCTGACTCCTGGATCTCAGGTCCAGCTACGCCTGTCTTTTCTGCCTCCTACAGCAGGTGGCACTTGGCCAGGTACGTAGCAGGCCCTCGATGGGACAGTGTCTTAGACTGAATTCAACCAAGTTGCCATAACCAACCTGGAAGAACCACGTTTGGAAGGCAGGAGCCAGAGATCCCTGGGAGTCTTTTTTGGTCCAGAATGGGCCAGCCCATCTGCCCCGGCTTACGTTGCTGTACCAGACTGGCAGACTACAGGAGCCCACCCCACCTGAGCACCTGCCCAAATTCGAACTCAGCAGAGTGACACTGTAGGTGCCTTTCTCTGAAGCTCTCATCTACCTCTCCGGGGCTGGGGGAGGTTCCCCTTCCATCTTTCCACTTACAGAGGGTCAGGGCCACCTACATGAGCACCCAGATTTCTTGTGGCCTGACTTCTCAAGGAAATAACTGCCTGGTCTCTGATGAAAATGCTGCCATGTTCATTTGCATTTTGCTTTGTTAAGTCATTCGCATGTGGGGTGATGCACAGACCCTCCTCCAACCAAGGCCCCCACCCAATATCATGCTTCTTCTTTGCCTGTGATATTTCAGCCTCCTGCCCATGATTGATGTGATTGATTATTCTCAGTGTTCTGGAGTGACTGCCCACTCCATACTTTCTTGTCAAGGATGCAGGAACATGTCCTGGAGGTTCTAGGGACAGGGCTGACCAGCCTGCCGGCCTGGACACCTTTCTATTTATCTTTCTCTGCTCTTCACCATCCATGTCTTCACTTTCTGCCTTCCTGTCTCTCTATCTGTTTTCTTTTTTTCTATCCAGTGTCGGAGGGCCCCCCTCCTTGCTCCAATCCTTTCTTCTTGTTCTCCTTCACTCCTGGCGTCCCCTTATTTATTCCCAGGCCTGTGTTCCCCTTACCTCAGGCAGCACATCTCCCAGACTGAGTGCCTGCTGACATATGATGTGGAAGGCAGAGGGTGGGAGGTGGGGGGAGGGGTGGAGTGGGGCTCCCAGCTGGGCTGCCTTTCTCCAGTCACAAGGGTGGTGACATTGGCTGGGGAGTTCAGATTGCATGGCCCTGAAGGGTTCATTTCAACAGGGGTCTCCTGATCTGTTGGACCTGGCCTCTGGAGGGCCCCCCTTAATGGAACAGTTGAGGCTTTGGCACTGCGAGACCCAGACCTCCTGAGACAGTTCAGCCCCAGGCTGCCAGGCTACTGATGTCTGTGGTCTCTGCATCCCATGAACAGCTTTGTGTCCATGGGGGTGGTGAGGACCCTCAGATTTCCCCAGAATCTTCCTGTAGCTGGGGCTGTCCCCAGGTGAGGCAAGCACCAGCTTCGGAAATGAGCTCGTGAGACATGGACACAGTCCCTGGTTATAATCTGTAGTTGGCATGGCCCTTCCAGGCTTGGAATCGAGCTTGACAGATGTTTCACAAACCCCTGGGAGCTCATGACTCAGAGGAGAAGGCAGCCTTCTGTATGACTCAGAAAGAGCTCTGTCCAGCAAAGACTAACACCTCCCCTCTTCGTCCCTATCAAAGTTCTGAGTGCCTCTTCCTCGCTTGTCCTTTAGACAGGAGGTCCCCTCCCCAGGTTGGTGGCTCTCCACTATTCCTTTGCCCCATCTCTCCACTTTGGGGACCTGGGCACCCCTAGGAGGCATTTATCCCATCCTCCCAGGAAAGGTAGCAGAGGGGAGGGGGTTTTAGTCTAGGGCAGGAGGCCAGGGAATCATTAACTAAGATGAAAGCAGCAGCAGTTACTTATTTTCTAGGACAGATGATCACTGCCGGGCTGGGGGAGTTCACCATGGTTCCTCTGCTGCAGGAGGTCAAAACGTGGTGACAAGTTACCACTTAGCGAGCACCCATTTTGCACACACTTGATATTTATTAGTTTGATAATGACCCATCATTGTCCCTTGCAAGGTAAATATAATCATGTGCATTTGACAGACAAGGAAAGTGAGCCTCAGAGGGTTGAGCAACTGACACAGCCAGTGGGTGGGTCACTGGGTTCAGTGCTGGCAGTCTGGATCCAAAATGCCTCCTCTTTTCTCTCACCGATTCATTCATTCATTCAAGTCTTTAGTGAACAGCTACTATGGGCTGTACCAGGAGCTGAGGATTCAGCAGTAAACAGCTGGAAAAATCATCCCTCTGCACAGGGAGCTTCATTCCAGTGGCATTGTCTTTCCTGGGCAGTTTCTAAGGAAGGACTTAGACTGGTAAACGGCCACAATTTCAGCTCTCCCCTAAGTGGCAGTGTCCCTGTGGGCAGTGGAAAGTGTGCTGGGAGGGAGCAGATATGGGTACACCCAATGCTGTCAGCAACTTGTGGGTTGACAGCCCTCTCAGTGCCTCCACTAGCATATCTGTGTGGGAAGTGGTGGAACTGGGTATGGTCTTTGCTCCCTGGGCAGGCCGCCATGGTATCCCCTGGGGGCTTCTTAAAGATGCAGAACTTCAGGTCCCACCCCAGATCTATGGGATCAGAACACACATTCTTACAGTGTTTGTGTGCACATTATAGTTTGAGAAGCTCTGGTTAGGGTTCCTCCTCTGATCTTGTGCCATTTCAACAGCCTCTGGCTGGGGATGGTCACTGACCAGTAGAGGGCACTGTAGAGGGGTTTCACCTGTAACACGTTGTCTCCCTCTGTCCCCTCCCTTCCAGACCTAGACTGGTAAGTCCACCGATTTCTGGGATCCTCGGCTGCTCCCTCACCTCGGCTGGACTTTGCCAAAGGACGGAGACAGACTCCCCCACCCCTCTTCAGGGCGGCTAGGAGGAGGACTCTGCCAGGAAGCGGGAAGCGCCACTCCTGCCTGGATTCCCCGCCCACCTCCACTTGTCTGCTGGCCTGGTGACGGGGTCTGGCTGACCTTTCTGTTTCTCAGCGACAGAGCTACTGTTCCTGGACAAGCCGGCAGCCTCTGGGAGCCCCTACACAGTAAGGTGAACACCCCCTGAGGCAGCTAGGGGTGGGGTGGGCATTACCATGGGGCCACCTGGGACTCAGGGGAGGAGCCAGGCCAGCTCAGCAGGGCCAGGCAGAGAGTGGAGAACCTGTGCTGGAGCAGGAGACGAGAAAAGGGCTTGGGAGAGGGCCACTGCCCAGCGGGTGTGAGGAGCAGGGGAATGCACTATGGAAATGTAAACTATGCTGATGAATGCGGCCATGACTTAGGTTTGGACTTATCCATCCCGGTACTTTTTCTGTCCTTCAGAAACTGGAAGTTTTCCGGTGGTTGAGTAGACACAAAAACAACCAGTGACATGGGAGAAGGGTTGAGAGTTTCCTCAAAGGATACAAGCAGAGCTTTGTAGTGGGAGCCCGGATCCTTGTGTGGAGGGACAGATGACAGCATCCTAAAGGACCTTCATCTTGGGGAGGTGCTACCCAGGATGACATGGGTTCTGGGACAAGACAAGACAAACTGGAGACATGGGTAATACAGAGTCAGGCATGTGGTTAGGAGGCTCCAGCCTGCATTTTGCTGGTTGCTATGCTGTAGGTTCAGGACCCTGCCCTGTCCTGGGGCAAAAGAGAGGATAGAGTGGGGTCCAGGGTGGCCTGGAGAGCTCTCAGCCTTGGAGAAGGGAGGCTGAGCTGGGGGAGGAGTGAACCTTCTCCAGGCCAGGTAATGAATGGGCCATTGAAAGGCCCTCCAGGTTGGAAGGCTGGGCAAGGGGACTCCACTGTGCCACCCAATGGGGTGGAGGGGATTTGGACTCTGGTCTTTGGAGGCCCCAGGAAGGTTGTTGCTATAGAAACAGAGGGAGCCCCTCCTTTCTTTCCCAATATCTGACCCATCCCCTGTCACTGGCGCCTCTGTGGGCGGGGGGTGCAGGGCATCACTGGCTGTGGCACTAAGGTTGTGCCTTTAGTTCCTTCTGTTTATTTTTCCTTTTGTTTATTTTTGTTTCTTTGTCTTCCAACTTCATTTCCTCTAGAAGTGGAAAGAAAAGACCCCGGAGAAAAAGATGGGGCAGAGGGAGAGAGGGAGTGTTTCTGGAAGTCCTCGTCATCTCTGCTCATCCTTCCCTTCTGAAGTTTAATAATCTCCCCTCTGTCCTTACTGGGGGAGAAAACCTGGCTTCCTTACCTGTGAAATGGAGTTAAAAATAACAGGCAGCTCATAAATCTGCTCCGAGGATGGAATGAGCTAGGCCAGGTAGAGCGCGTTAACGCACTGGCACGGAGTGAAGCTCCCTGACTGTTAGCTATTATTACTACAGTTATAATTCTGATTATCTTTAATGTGAAAGAACCGGAAGGATTGGATGGAAGGTCAAGGGAAGACTGCGGCTCTGACGCCCATTCCCCGCAGGCTGAGGGCAGGCTGAGGCCGGCTCACTTATGTCACCTGCCTGCCGTGCCGGGGCACTGTCTGCAGCCTCGGAGTTTAAGGCCAAGGGAGCAGTGCCACACCTTCCCTTTTTGTCTCCGTCTTCCATGAGGACATGAGGCAAACAGGTCCCCACCCTGCTCCGCATTACCCAATCCTGAAGATACAGAGGAGCTTCGGCCCCTGACTGGGAAGACCTGGGAGTGGGTCTTCGGTTTCCTGGGGCCCGTAGAAGGGAGGAAGAAGGTGGACAGGGAAGGAACAGGAGGCCTGGGACAAGGCCTCAGCTCCGGGGTGGGGGTGGTGTGAGCAAAGGGAGTGGAGGAAGGGGGGCCAGGAGGCTTTCTGGTGTGGATCCTAGGGGATCAACCATGGGGACCCTGAAGACTTTGAAGGAGGATGTGGTGTTTCACAGAACTCAGCCTTGGGGTGAATGAATCCCAGGCCCTCAGAAGCTCCTTGAGAGCTGGATAAGACATCTTCATTGGCAGGAACGAACTTCCCACACTGCCTGGAACCCAGCTGACGCTCACAAATGGTTCATTTGAGTGGGAAAGCCACATGTGACAGCACAGGGCCAAGAGTTACTCAGTGTGGCGGGATGGCAGCCGGAGAGCTTTTGGAGGGGGAGATGGCCCAGGGCTGGGGGGTGGGGGCGGGGGGCACTACCGAGCAGGAGGGGTCCAGGTGCGGGGAGCTGGTGAGGGGTGAAGCAGAGAACAGCAGGAACAAAGGCCAGAGGCTGAAATCAACAAGCTGTGGGGACCTGGGCTGACAGAGAATGGGGCTGTTGGAAATTCAGGGAGGAAGAGGGGGAGTGGGAGGAGGAGGCGGTGGATTCTGAGGGCCTGGGTAGGGGCTGGTGTCTGTGCGGGGAGCTGCTCGAAGGCCCAGGCCCCAGGCTGAGGCTGGGGGCCAGGTGAGCCTCACTGGAGGACCACGCCTTTAGTCTTCGTTTTCTTTTGGCTTCCACTTTAACTTTTGTGACTCCTGTGTTTTATGTATCCCTGGGAGCTACCTTCTGACCTTTCTGGAAGAAGGAGGGGCATGAGCAAACACATGTGGACAGGGTTTATCATCTACAGATGCTCTTCACATGGTCTCATGCCATCCTCACAATCACTCGGAGAGGTTATTTTTTCCCCCTACTTTTCATAGCTTGTAAAAAGAATCACAAAGTTAGTATAAAGACATGCATGCTTGGTGTGAAAAGTTCAAAGAATACAGAAAAAAGAGTTTCAGAAAATAGAAAGTCCTCATTCACGCCTCCAGGCCCCCAATTTCGCATCCTTTTCAGTAATGACCGGTGGGAATAGTTTGGGGTGTACCCTCCTAGACCAGCACTGTCCAAGACAGGAATCACCAGCACATGTAGTGACGGAGCATTTGAAGTGGAGTGAGTCCCAGCTGCGATGTGCTGGGTGTGTAAAATACACATGGATTTCAAAGACTTGGTACGAAAAAAGAATGTAAAATAGCTCAATAATTTTATATTGATTATCTGTCGAAATGATAACATTTTGAATATAGCGAGTTATATAAAATATATTATTACAATTAATTTCTCCTGTTTCTTTTTGCTTTTTTAATGTGGCCCCTAGGAAGTTTACCAGCACATCTATAGCTCACATTATATGTTTATTACACAGCGCTACTCCAGACATTTCTCTATCATTTACATATACATCCATGAACAGGTATCCATACTTGTATATAGTTTTGTTATTTACATTAATGAGATCAGAAGATGTCTAGCTCTTTGTGGCTTGCTTTTCTACTTTAAGATTTTCATAAATCAGCCCACATAGATCAAAGTAGCTATTTTGACATTTGAGGAAATGGAGGCACATTAAGCAATATGACAAGCTCACTCAGCAATGACCAGGGTGGTATTTAAACTCACAATCTCTAATTGCAAATCCAAGGTCTTTCTGTCTCATGGGAGATTAATTTGATGTACTAGGTCATGGGGAGCCATGGCAGGTTCTTGAGGAAGAGAGAGATAGGTAAAGTTCTGTTAAAGGAATTGATCTGACCAGGGTGTGTGGGGTTCATGCAGATGAAGACAATTTGCTCCCTCATTGCAGCCACTTTGGAAGCCAAGTCTCACCTCCGTGACCTTGAAAAGGCTCATCTGGCACTGACTCCTTTTTTCCCCTGAGCCCTTGTCCTCTGCTGGCACAGGGGTGCAGGGGATCTGGCAGCATCGAGTGACCAGGTGGATGTGCTCCCATGAGAGTTCCCTCCAACCCGCCCAGTTCCTACTGCTGGTGGGGGTTCCGGTGGCCAGTGCCGTCCTTCTGGCCCAGTGCCTTCGATGGCGCTGTCCTCGCCGGCTGCTGGGTGCCTGCTGGAAGCTGGAGAGCCAGGAGGAGCCAGTGTCCCATTCCACTCCCCCGCCAGAAAATGAGTCCTCCGGGCAGTGCCCACCAGCTACGCTGCAGGAGATGGCCGCCTTCTACCAGGAACTGCACACACCCACCCAAGGCCAGACCGTCATCCGCCGGCTGATGCACAAGCTGCTGGTGTTTTCGGCTCGAGAGGTGGATCACCGAGGTGGCTGCCTGATGCTCCAGGATACGGGCATTTCCCTGCTCATCCCACCAGGTAACAGCACCCAGCTCCCTTCTCAGGGTACAGTTGTTCACGTTGCACTTTGGACAAGGGCACCAACTCCAAGGGAGCACCATTCAGAGACATTTTCATAATTTTGAAAATTGTTTATATGTTTAGTTTGACTTTCTTAACTCTAAAGGTGGATATATTTCAAATGTTTATGACAGCGTCCTGCCAGGTGGAAGTAAAGGGCCTTGTTCTAGTGAGCAGTGTGTTATGACGATTCTCCCATAAAGGGAAGTAAGGTGTCTGGAGGAAGAGCACCTTTTGCAAATTCACACAAGGCCCTGTGTGAGCTGGCAGCAGCCCTGGGAGGAAGGGGACAACTTGCTCAGGGTGACATCACAAGGCAGTCAGAGTCACCTTCCTCTCCTTCCGTGCTGCCTCCCCATGTGCCTTCTCCCCTGGGCACCGTCTCTCCTGGGCTCCCGCCCCACCTCCTCTCCCACTCTGGCCTGGCCTCTTCTGGGGTAGGGTGTATCTGCTTGCCAGGCCCATCTCAGCTCGCCCCCTCCCCAGGTGCTGTGTCTGTGGGACGCCAGGAGCGCGTGTCACTGATCCTGGTGTGGGATCTGTCAGACGCCCCTTCACTGTCCCGAGCCCAGGGGCTGGTGAGCCCCGTGGTGGCGTGTGGCCCCCATGGGGCCTCCTTCCTGAAGCCCTGCACCCTCACGTTCAAGCACTGTGCCCAGCAACCCAGCCACGCCCGCACCTACAGCAGCAACACGACCCTGCTGGAAGCCAAGGCCTGGAAGCCCCTGGGGCGGCCAGGAGACCACACCTCCCGGGATGAATGTCGCATCCTCCTCTCCCACTTCAGGTAGGCACCTGCCCATTGGCCTGTGCTTCCTGCCTCCTTTCTCTGCTGGCCTCACCCTCACCTTTCTGTAGGGGTGGCCCCTTTATCTGTCCACGATGGCCTGCAAATACCTTATCCCCGTGTCCTTCCCCAGTCCCTCTGTCCTAGTGTCTATAACAGCTTACATTGTCCAACCCTATCCAGGACTGCACACCTTACTGTGGTCCCTCTGCCTACCCAGAGTCCTCTGTCTAGACGGGGCCTGTCCCATCTCTACCTCTGTTCCTAAGATTGTCTCTTCCCTGTGCCCCAGTCCAAGACTATCCCCAAACTGACTAGGGCAGTCTGCCCCCTCCAGTTCTCTGACTCCGTCCCATCTCACGTCTGTCCTTAGTTCTGTCTTTCTAGAATCTTAGACCCTTCTGCCTCCCAGTCCCCTTGCCACCCACTGACCAGAGCAGGGCCATGTGTGGGACCCCTCCCAAGCATGGCAGCCCTGAGACCAGCTTCCCTCTTTCCCACACTGGCTCTTTTCCCTGCTCAGTGACGGTCACTGTGACATGACTCACTTTCTGTCCCCTTAGCTGACCCCTCCGCCCCAGGCCTTCCCTACACACACCCTGGAATGTTCTCTTCACCTCCTTGGAGGCCTCCACAGAGGCCCCTGGTGCAGTGGGAGCCTGGTGGCAAGTGGGCTGGTGTCCCAGCCTCTCCCTCAGGCACTGTGCATGGTCCCTGCCACCGCCTCTCTCCGCAGCCTCTACACCTGCGTGCTGGAGGCACCGGTGGGCCGGGAAGCCCGCAAGTGGCTGCAGCTGGCCGTGTTCTGCTCGCCTCTGGCTCCGGGGCAGTCCCACCTGCAGCTGCGCGTCTACTTCCTCAACAACACGCCCTGTGCCCTGCAGTGGGCTGTGACCAACGAGCAGCCGCACGGCGGGCGCCTGCGTGGGCCCTGCCAGCTCTTCGATTTCACCGGGGCCCAAGGGGACCAGTGCCTGAAACTCAAATACATCTCCGAGGGTGAGGGAGGCAGGCCCGGGGGGCAGGGCAACAGGATCCCACTGGAGGAAGGGGTCTGGACCTCTCCTGAGGTGGGAATCTGGGAACTCCAAGTTGCTTTTCGAGAATCCTGGGTTGACAGAAGCTTCAAGGGGGCCTCTGGCTCCTGCTGTGCCTCCCAGAGCCCCAGGCTTTGCCCACTTCCTCCCTCTGTTGCCCACTCAGCACCAGTCCCTCTGTAGGAGGGTAGGTGACGTGGATGGGAGGTGGGAGGAGAGGTGTGGCTCCCACAGGGTCAGGGAGGGAAGGGGAGGTTTCTGTTGTCCCGTCCTGATGGAGCTGGTGTCAGAGGAGGAGGCCCAGTCTTTTCTGCCCTCCTTGTGTTGTGGGTTGGCTACGGGAATTGACGATGGGGTCGGGGTGTTTGTGTGGTTGAGGACATGGGAACACATGTGTGGCTGCTTCCGGGGGTAGTAGATGGGAGGGTGGGGGTTGGAGTGGAGGGTGGAGGGGCGGGGGGTCTGTGTGCTGTGTGTTGGGGGCAGTGTGTGTTGGTAGAAGGAAGACCGCTCGGGGTCCCCCCCAGGCTCTGGGGACTCCCATCCTTTGCTCCCTCCCCCGCCCTCCCCACAGTGCCCTGCACAGCGCCTGCCACACAGTGGCCTCCTTAAACCCCCGTGGAAGGCCCCGCTCTCTGAGGCCCTCTGCTCTCTGCCCCTCCCCAGGCTGGGAGAATGTGGACGACAGCAGTTGCCAGCTGGTCCCCCATCTGCACATCTGGCATGGAAAGTGCCCCTTCCGCTCCTTCTGCTTCCGCAGAAAAGCAGGTAGTCCAGGAGCCTTGCATCCACCTGCTGCCCTCTCCTCTCTGCTCCCGGTCACCCTGGAGCCCCGCAGCTCCTCACTCAGCCGTGCCCGCAGACCCTCTCTTAAAGGCGAGGGGCCACGGCAGATCTTTGCAGTGAGGAAGCCGGGGTGGCCTGCGCAGCTGCTTCAGATTTCCAGTCTTACTGTGGGGTCCCTTTCGCTCTCCTGCTCTCCTCCCTGGGGCCTTTTCCTCTCTCACCTGCTACATCTCCTCTTTGCAGCCAGTGAGAACGAAGACTGCTCGGCACTGACCAATGAGATCATCGTCACCATGCACACCTTCCAGGATGTGAGTTGGAGCTGAGGGGCAGAGGAAGGGCAGAGCCTGGGGGTGTTCTGGGCAAAGTGGGCAAGGGTCTGGTGCCCAGGAAGTATGGCTCTAGGCACATAATCAAGCAAGGGAAGAGGGCATTTTTCCAGCGCAGAGACCTCCTGGCCTCCAAGTTACTCAGCATTCCTGACTCCTGTCTATCCGTGGATGAATCTTGCAGGAGGGTAAAAGAACCAAACCCTAGAGTAACCCTTTCTCCCCACCTGGATGTGGCTTCTTTTTGGACTGACGGTCTACATCTGAGAGATGGTGCTATATATCTTAAGGTGGAGAGTAACCAGGAAGGGGTCTTGAGTGGGTGGAATGGGATTTAGATACTCTGCTCTCCTGAGGGAAGGTATGAAGAAGTCAGGCCTGGAGAATCTTTGGGGAGCCATGGTGGCATCTTATTGGGGAGGAGGCAGATACTCCTTGCAGTATCACTTAGGGAGGAGGAGCCAAGGAGAGGAGGAATGGAAGAAGTGGGCACGTATGCCCGAGTTCAGTCTCTGTTATTGGACGACCTCCCCCTGCCCATGACCCCACCCAGGACTTCTCTTAGTGTCTTGGGATGTACTTTGTTTGGTCTTCATGTCCCAGGTCCCCAAGAGCTCAGTGAGCAAACTTAAGTGAGAAGGTTCTGGAGTCGAGGAAGCAGAGGGTAGAGGGTGCTGGTGGGGTGGGGCTGTGTCTCCTGGTTAAGTGGCTCTGGGTGACAGGCTGAAGGAGAGACATGGGGACTGGAGGTGGGCACCCCAGCTCCTTCAGAGGGATGTCGTATGATCCCTAAACGTTTCCCTGCCCCTCTGTCGGCTCAGGGTTTGGAGACCAAATACATGGAAATCCTCAGATTTCAAGCATCAGAGGAGGAATCCTGGACAGCGCCACCCCCTGTCACCCAGCCACCCCCATGCAATAGGTGAGGTGGGGGTTGCTTGGGCTGCTGCCTGGGGGATGCCTGCAGGGCGAGCACAGCATTGAGGTGTGTCTGGAACCAGACTGGGTCTCTTGATCCTCCCCTCCAAGAGCACCCTTTCCCCCTCTGCAGGCTGCCCCCAGAGCTCTTTGAGCGGCTGCAGATGTTGCTGGAGCCCAATAGCATCACAGGCAACGATTGGCGCCGACTGGCCTCCCACCTGGGGCTCTGCGGTATGAAAATCCGGTAAGAGGGGTGAGGTCTGAACATGGGAGCGGAAGGTGGACTGGGGTGGGATTCTCAGGACCCCTTGGAGGGACCCATGGAGACTGGACCACAGACAAGGGAGGGACTTAAAAGTCAGGGAATGGCCAATCTCCCCCCAACCCCCACCACTCCCCAGAACAGGGCTGATCTCCTTAGGACAATAATCCCATTGGTTAGAGCCGAGCAGTCCTCGTTCTCATGGCTACAAAGAGGAGAGGACGTGGCAGGTGAGAGGGGAAAAGGCCAGGGGAGCAGAGCAGGAGAAGTGAGAGGGACTCCACAGGAAGGCTTTAGAACTCTTTCTGCTTATCATGGCATTCTCGGTACCTAGAATGATGCCTGGCTCATGGTTGGTGTTCAGTAAATATTCAAAAAGATATTGGATCACATGTAAGTCACTGGTACATACTGAGTGCTTGACATGCTATGCCCTGAGGGGCAGGACGGCAGACCATAGAATGATGTGTGTAGAGCATGTAGCTGTGTGCCTTGCACGTGTTAATTCAATAAACAGCAATGATGCGGGCAATGCAGCTGTGGGCTCTGTCAAGAGAGATCGGTAGACCAGTTCTGAGCTAAGCCCCAGAACTCAAGACTGTGACAGCAGGGGTCATGGAGGACTTCACCCAGGAGATGAGACTAGAAAACAGGGTAGATTTTAAAACCACTCATTTATTAAACATCTATCAAATACCTACAATGTCCTGGAAAAACTATGCTAAGCATTGGAATACAAGATGAATGAGACATGGTCCCAGTGCCTACCTAGCAGCTTACACTCTAGTAAGGGATACAGAGAGCTTAAAAAAAAATCAGGGCACATGCTCCTTTGACCTTATTGTATGTGTCCAATATTGCATAGCAAGCTGAAAACGGGGACACGGGATGGCCAAAGCAAGAATAATGAAGACTTACGTCAATTACAGTTGATCCTTGAACAACGTGGGGATTAGAGGTGTGACCCTCCATCCTGTCGAAAATCCTAGTATAACTTACAGTCGGCCCTCCGTATCCCCGATTCCCCATCTGCAGATTCAGCCAACCAGGGACAGGGTAGGAATGTACTATTTACTATTGAAAAAAATCTGCATGTGAGTGGACCCACGTAGTTCAAAGTGGTGTTGTTCAAGGGTCAACTATATATCTCAATTTTAAAAAATGAATAATAAAGACTTGCGGGAGCTATGCCCAGAAGTCCAAACTGAGGAGTGCAGAATGATCTCCACCTGGGAGGTGGAAATTAGAAAGGCTTCAGGAACAGGTGGTGGGGAAGAGGGCGATCAACCTTTCTGTTTGGGGGTAGCAGAGGTGATCGTGGGTCTGATGGTTTAAGGTGGGAAAGGGATAGGCCTGAGGAGGGACGGCTCAGGGAGAAAAGGTCAGAAAAAACAGGGCAGGGCCAGGTGGTGGATGAGCCAGAAAATCAGGAGAGTGAGCTTGGTTAGTAGCCGAAAGGGACTCTGAAAGGTTTTTGAGCAGAGGAGGGTCATGGTAAAAGTCTTGGTTAGGAACAGCTGCTTCCTTAGTGGTGGGCCGGATGTGGTGGCCTGGGAGAGAGGGAGGGGAGGGGAGGGTGTGTTTGGAGTAGGGGACATAGAGAAGGCAATTGCAGAACATCAGAACTGGAAGCCAACTTAGAGGTCTTCTCATCCAAGCCCTGCTGTAAGAAGAGGAAACTGAGGCCTGGAGAGGATTACCTTTTGGGCCAGGGCAATATCAGATTTGAGCTGGGGCAATCTCAGATTTCAAAGTCCTGGGCCTTGCCAGCATCCCGACTGCCCCGGAAGGCAGACAGGAGGAGGATGAGGAGCTGGGGGAGGGGTGGATCTCGCTGCAGTGCCCCTCCTCCTGTCACCTCCCCCGGACCGCCCACCTCCCCTCCAGGTTCCTGTCCTGCCAGCGCAGCCCCGCGGCAGCCATCCTGGAGCTGTTCGAGGAGCAGAACGGCAGCCTGCAGGAGCTGCACTACCTCATGACCATCATGGAGCGGCTGGACTGCGCCTCCGTCATCCAGAGCTACCTGAGCGGGACGCAAAGCGGCAGCCCAGCCCCGGTCCGCGGGGGCGCCCAGGAGAACCAGGGCCTGGAGCTGGACGAGAAGTTCTGAGCGCCCTGCTGCGGGGCAGGGTGGGGCGCTGTCCACGGGGAGGCCGTGGGTGTGCCCCGACACGTAGGAAGAACACAGCATCTGTTCCTGTCTGTGCCCATCGACCTCACTGGGGTCGATTGTTGGCCTCCCCGGGTCAGGACCACCGTTTTGGTCTTCGTTCTGTGTGCAGATCCTGTCCTGGCCAGCAGGGGGCGCATGAGCCTAGGAGATGGCCAGCCTCTGGGAAACTAACAGACCTATGGACTATTGCTGCCCTGTTGGCACTCCTTGGGGACTGGTGAGCCCACAAGTATTCACTAAGCACTTAGTGATACCTGGCATTGGACTGAGTATCATGGGGAATCCTGGAATATATGGGCTCGGGTTTGGAGCCTTGGCAAGACCACAGTTCTCTTGTGGGAATCAAGATGAGCCCATAGTGGCTGAGGTAGAACTCTAAACAACATGCCCTGTGGTCAGAAGAGTTGGGTGTGGTATGAAATGTCCATGCTTTAAGAGTTGAGAAGGGAAGGAGTGGATATGGGCTGGAGCAGTGAGAAAGCCTCGTGGAGAATGCTGGACAGGCAAAGAGTGGTTCAGAGATCTTAAAGTGGGGGGAGCAGGGGATGCTGAGTGGATCACGGTAGGAGCTGAGTCTTCATGGGGTGCTGAGGCATGAAGGAGCCCAGCGCTGTGGGTGTGAGGTGAGGGAGGACAAGGGTTCAAGGCCAGATCTGAAGATGGGCAGTCATACCTGGCTGTCCACCTGTCTCCTTTGCCTTCCTTGATCTCTTTATCCTCCCATCCTTGCCTTGTCTTCCTTTATCTCTGCCATTATCTCTGTCATAAAACATCAAAGCTGAAAAGAAACTTCAAGATTATGACTGTTGCCCAAACTTTCATCTCTTTATCTTGCGATTAAAACTGAATTTTTAAGTCTCTCTGACTTCATTTTGCTGTCACTGTCTCCTGCAGTAGCTCCATCCCTGAATCTCTCAGGCTCTCTGTTACCATCTTTTTGTCTCTACCTAGTTACTGAACCTACCCTTATGTGTTTCTCTCTCTCTCTCTGCAACCCTCAGGCATTCTCCCCCAGGCAAGTGTCTCTAAACCAATGTTATGTATCAAAAGCAATTGAAAGACACCGGTCTACCCTAGGAATGGATGGGTGGGGATTCTACCCCATGAATCAAGATCAAATTTAGGGTCAGAAAATAAAAGGTTAGGGATTAAAGAACAGCCCTTTCAGTCAACAGTGATTTATTCAGCACCTACTATGTGTTAGGCACTGTATAGAAAATAGATCAATAGGCTGGATCCTGAAAAGAGAACAAAGGGTTTGACTCAACTCAAGCCTTTTGTTTGCAAACAGGTGTTGTTAATTTGTTCAAGGGCAGACAAATGATCTCTCTGGCAACACTAACAGTTTGCTTCTGTATTTAATTAAAAAAATACTAAAGCTTTTTCTGTGGTGAGCAATATTGTATAATAAAACACGAAAATTGCTTTTCTTTGCTACTAACTACATTTTGCTCAGATTGATAAATTTGGATGTGGGTATGAATGGTTTTATGTGGTAAAATCGTATGGATGGGGGTGGGTTGGAGGGCAGCATTTTGCAGATTGTACTTCCAGTGTGGCCATTGTCTTGGTCCAGCATGGTAAATCAGGAAGGTTCTCTTCCCTTTCTGCTAGAAGCAAGCCTCCAGGATGGGACCCTCGCACCCCCTCCCTCTTCCTGTAACCCTGTCCACCCTCTGTTACTCCCCGCCCAGCCCCTCGCCACTAGGGGCTGCCACCTATGCCAGGCTGGTACCTTAGCCTTCTCCCTCTGCTCTTGGCTTGGAACTGGGCTGCTAAGAGCATCTTTGTCCTCTGGAGTCCAGCACAGTTTTCCCCTTTTCTCCTATTGTCTCTTCCTTGCTCTCCACACCAGCCAAAGTCATCTTTATTTTGTGTTACTTCCTACCCTGGAACAAATCATTTTAAGAGTTTCAAACCTTCTGGAATTGTGACTAGAAGCCACAGGTGGGGGTGTTTCTATGATGGGAGGGAATGCTTTCTGGCCCCAGCCCTAATCTGTCAGAATGGGCTTGCAGTGGGGAGCAGGAGGCTTGGAAATCTTGAGATAGGTGGCAAGCTGCCTGATCTCTGTAGGGTGGATCCTTCCTTCCTTAAATCAAACCCAATTGGCTGTGTTTATCAGCTCCTAAAGCCAAGAGATGGTGTGCTCCAGGGGCGCAGGGACATTAAGTGCTCAGCCCTGGCTCTAGCGCTAATTAGCACGGCTTTTACCTCTCTGGCTTCAGTCTCTTCGCCTTGGAATGAAGCAACCTTGTTTGAGGCTCCCCGAGGGCTTTCTTCTATGGGCCTGGCACCAGTTCATCCAGGGGATGTCCACTTGGGGAATTTTTCTTTGTGTGTTGCCTTTATTTAAAGTGACTGGTCACTGCTTGTGGACTTACCTCCAGCCCTTTTCCTGGTAGGTTCCCTCCCTGGTCCCTAAACACACCAAATTTGTGACTTCTGTTCTTATGCACGTTGTAGAAGCCCATACCTAAACTTCCACCTGTTGGGTTTAGAGCTGGAAGGAGAATGAATGAGAAAGTTTGAGCCCTGGTCTGCAGGGTTAGTGGTTCCAGTGCCCAGAGGTAACACGTGTCCTCGGCACTCCATCTGCCTCCTGAGCAACGTCCATGCCAATGTCAGATCTGTCCATTGGAACACAATGGAAGCCACATACTGAATTCTACATTTTCTAGTGGTCACATCAAAAAATGTAAAAAGCAACAGGTGAAGTTAGATTGTAATAACATTTTTTGCTTAACCGAATATCACATATAATCAATACAAAAATTATTAATAGCATGTCTTACATTCTTTTTTTCCCATAAAGTGTTTGAAATCTGGTGTGTTTTTTGTAATTACAGCATATCTTGATTTCAGAGTATCAAAAATGTGTTAAATTTTTGTTGCAAATATTCGATCCATATTTAGCGTTCATAAAATTTTCGTAAAATGGAAAAAGGACATTGACACTCACAAGTTAAACAAGCTGAAAGTTCTCCAAAAATGAAATTAGGTATGAATTAAAATTTTTAAATCAATTGAAATGAAATAAAAATTCAGTCCCTCAGTTGCACTAGCCACATTTCAAGGGCTGAGTAGCCATGTCCTGCTAGTGGGCACTGTGATGGACAGCACGGTCTGGATGATGGGTCCAGCTGAGCATGACTTTGGAGTGTACTTGCCCATTCATTCATTCATTCACTCATTCATTTGTCAAACACTTGCTGAACACCTGCCTTGCACAGTGTTGGTTACAAAAAAAAAACAGTGAAGAAGAGCATTCTTGTTGGGAGTCAGAGAGAGCAGCACTTTCCTTCCCTCCCTCTTGCGCCTGACTCGATGAAGGAAAAGGGGCATAAGGTCCAGGCAGACACTCTCTGCTGCAGGGATGGTACTGAGCGTGGTCCTGAGGCCGTGGAGTCAGAGTCAGATGTTTCCGGCTCACCCAGCACATCAGGTGGGTTCTCAGTTGCTCACAACAGAATCCACTCTTGCTGGAGATTAAGTCAGGGGGCTTTTATCCTGAAGAATAAACAGTCATTTGGAGGGCTGAGAAATAGAATTGAGGTAAAGTTTCCAGGAATGATGCCCTCAGCTGTGGGGGTAGAACCAGCCCAAGAAGGGAAACTGGTACTACTGTGGCTGCTGCTATTGAGCACTAGATGGCAGGAACTCAACTTTATTGCCGCCACTCCTGCCACTGCCACTGCCACCTGTGAATTGGGAACCAGACCTCACCTCTGAAAGCTGGGGCCTCTGCTGCCATACATGTCAGCGAAAATGGAAGCTGCATGTGCTGCCTGCTTCTTCATGCCACCCATTTCTGCATCAAATCTCAAGTTGGGGCATTAGATGGTCAGAGCCCGGTTCCCATGGTGAATCTAGCTACAAAAGAGTCTGGGAATTTGAATTCTGACTTCAATATTGGGAAGGTGGGACTCATTACATGCAAATATCCCCAAATATGGGAAAAGCTCCTCCAAAGTGGATGGACAGCTGCAAATATGACAGATGTCCACTACGGCCTGGGTGTGGTTGATGCTGTGGCCCCAGGGAGCAGACCCTCTTCCCAAGAAGAGTCATGCCTTCAGCAAGAGTCGGTGTCATTCCACTGACCTTCAGAATCTTCTCAATAAAGCATGACTGCGCACATCCCTCAAGACATACTCTGATCCCTGCACAATCCAGGGTCAGACTTTGACATGTTTCATGAGCAGGCAGCAAAAGCTTGCCAGCAGTCGTGAGCTGATTTACTCAGTGCCTTCTCCAGCCCCACGTGCTTTCCTATACTGCAGAGGCTGAAAAGTAGCCTGCATTTCCCAGGCTCCCTGGCAGACTGGGATTTAGAAGTTTCGTTTCTGCCAATCAGCTGAACTCACAGAGGTCTTCAATTTGGCCTTGAGTGAAGCGAGGAGTTGAACAGCATGAGGCTAGTGCTTATTCTGAGGAGCAACCAGCAGCTGTGGCTGCACCTGCCTAACTTGGCAGCTTTCTTGGTGACCTGGTTCTGTGGTGTGGTTTGGAGACTCGATACTGGAAGTCCTGCTTAAAGTCTCTTCCTTCAGCCCTTCCAGTGATTCTGTGAACTATGTAGACTCTCTAATACGTTGCTTTGTGCTTAAACTAGCTGGACGGAAACTCTCCAATGTACAACTAAGATCCCTACGCAATGCGCCCATGATTCTTTCTCTGGAAAGACTTTGTCCTTTGTCCTTTGTTCTGTGATCTACCCTTTCTTTCTTTGCTGGTGTCAAGGGCCTATTATCTTATGAAAGGATAGTAATGGAGATGATAGTTTTATTAAGATGTCCTTACTTGGCAAAGTATAAAGGTAGTAATCCTATGTTGATTCTCCCCTTCCCAATTTAAAAAACAAAACAAATTTATTGGTCTTTGAAATTCAAAAGCCTGGGAATATTCTTTTTATGAGAACTGTCATCCTTATTCATCCTTCTTGAAGCCTTACACAGGTATGTTTATTCATCTGCTCAGCACATATTTGACTTCTTATTATGTGCTTGGAATTCCTCATTTATTTTCTTTAGATAATCTCTCTCAGACTGGCTT